AATGGTTGAGACCAGGTCTGAGGAAGTGTAAGTGTGTTTTTAATGTGATTCATGAAAACAAAGCAGCACACATTCAACCATCTTCAAACTATCACATCACTCATTCACATCTCTGATGTCAGGAGTCATCATCAAAGTGTCAATCAATGAACAGATCATGGATCAATAACTGCAGCTGGATTGTGTTTGTTCTCTCAATCAGATTCCTGTCAACTCACAATTGACACAAACACAGTGAACAGAAACCTCCAACTGTCTGACAACAACAGGAAGGTGACACATGTGGAGGAAGTTCAATCATATCCTCATCATCCAGACAGATTTGATGTTTATCCTCAGCTGCTGTGTAGAAATGGTCTGACTGGTCGCTGTTACTGGAAGGTCGAGTGGAGAGGAAACGTTTATATATCAGTGAGTTACAGAAGAATCAGAAGGAAAGGAGGCAGTTATAACTGTGTGTTTGGAAACAATGATCATTCCTGGAGTCTGAACTGCTCTCATAATGGTCCTCAGTTTGTCTGGCACAATAATGTAAAAACATCCATCTCCACCTCCTCCTCGTCCTCCTCTGTCTCAAATAGAGTAGCAGTGTATGTGGACTGTCCTGCTGGCACTCTGTCCTTCTACAGTGTCTCCTCTGACACTCTGATCCACCTCCACACCTTCAACAACACATTCACTGAATCTCTTTATCCTGGATTTACACTCTGTTCTATTCCTGCTTCCTCAGTGTCCCTGTGCTGAGTTGAGTGTAAAGAGTGTCCTCCTGTTAGAGAAACACTCTGACTGTTGAACAGATAGTTCAGTGTGTAGATGTTTGTCTCTTTCACTCAGAGACGCATTTTCAGATTAATGGATTCAATCAGTTGATGTTTTAAACTGTTCTAAATGATTCCTTGTAAACGTCTTCCTCTTCAGTCCTTTAAAGATGGAAGCTCCCATTATTCCAAGATCCACATGTTGTTTTTCTGTCTTTTTCCACTCAAAGCTTCACAGTGAATGTCAGTATGTTGTGTTTCTCTAAAGCTCAGTTCACAACCAGCTCCTCTGCATTTTCAACAAGTCTGAGCTCATTAAAATGAATCCAAATGTTTGATTTCTCTTTCTTAATGGGATGTTTCCATAA